GCCTACCGCCACCCAACATCATGTACGTGTATAATGACGTCTATATAGGCGCGAGGCAACACCACTCGCAAATCGTCGCGTGAACTGGAAGTATTTAATTATGCGTTGGCCGCCCGGAGGAAAATTTCTTGCCTCTTATTAACGCACGCGGAATCGTGACATACCGGCCGCAATGGAATGCGACTGGAAGTGCGTTTCCGGACTCATGGAACCAAAGCAAAATTAAAGTCACGTTGAAGTCTTAAGTTTTCGCGGAACAGTTTGAGAAAATTCACGCACTAAGAGCACGTGGGGCGTAGTTATTTGCATGCATAGTAGCGCTTCTTGCCGTATTCGACTGCTTGAAATTTCGAATGTCGTTTGAAACGTCGGTAAGGCGTTTAGCGGGGTTTTGGAATTTTTTTCCCATTACTTATATTACTGCAGACGAGACAGAGTCATTCAATTCCAGATTATTGCGAAATTCGTGACATTGTTTTTCGGGATGTTTGTAGGAAATGCTTATGAAAATTATTTAAGATCTTGAATGAAGAAATAAGGGAACTTGACCAGACTTTAAAATACTTTTTCTTAGGTATAAATAATTTGAAATGTGGATATATTCCGGTTGTTATTAATATTTTAACATTATCATTAAAATTATTAAAATAAGAATTATGTAATTGGAGTGAGTCTGATAACATGGTAATTGTCAATTTCATTCATACTCTCATTCAAATATACCACTTATGATTCAGAATTGTCATTAAATTACAAAATAATTATTAAAATGTATCGAGATTATTGTGTGCTTTATATTTGCATATACTCATATACATACTTACGACTGTAAAAATTCCAATTTAATCGGTATTTTTTCTTTTTTTATCAACAATGTACTTTTTTTATTAATACTATTCTAAATTAGCTTCTTTTATCACTGAATTTATATTAATTTGATGATTTAACATTTAAGTTCCTTTGCATTGATTTTTTTTTTTTTGTTTTTTTTTTTAAATAAAAAGTTTTATATTTTTTATAATTATTTTTATTTCTTATAACTGACTTTTAGTCTTTTTATTTTATTCAATATTTTAGTTGAACGAAAAAATAATGATTAATTTTAACAAATTTTAGAAAAATTTGTAAAATAATTTGAATACTAATTAAATTAAATATTTATAAGTTATATAACGTAGTTTCATAGTTTAAAGTAATATTTTAGATATGCAACATTAATTCGAAACCACTATTGCATTGTTATTATAATGCTTATCTTTAATATAGTAACGCTGTAAATGAAATTTATAATCATCAGATTAATAATTAAATACTCTTAATAGAAATAATTGATGTATATTATATTTTATACAGTAGAGGAGCTATTTATATGTGACGAATTATAATATATCAACTGGTAAGAGTTGTTTTTTTTTTCTTTTTTTTAAATCAGGAAACTGTTTAATTGACATTAGCTATTATATATATATATATATATATATATTGTTATAAGATATTGTAGGAATTCAATTTACAACAATTGTGGTATAAAATTTCGATAGATATCTATGTCGCGTAAGGATATTGTTAATGACAATAAATAAAATTAAAAATATAAGATGTTGTTATATATTTATATTGAGCTATGTAAAAAATAGTTTTCAAAAACTTTTCTTCAAAAATTACGTATTTTTTTTAGTAAAAAATTAATTATATCATTATATATCTAGTAAAAATCTAATGTAGCAATAATAATTCTCTTAATTCTTTTAATTCATTTAAGTAAAGTATAACTAACTTTATATCCGAAAGAATTAACAAATATAATATATTCCATGAAATCGGCTTTTCTTCTATATATTGATATTTCATTAAACTAATTTAATAATAAATTAGCTTAACATTATTTTATACAAAGATTTTTAAAACCAATTTTATTATCTTGGCCGCGAAATTTAAAAAAATTTTCCAAAATATTTAATATATAAAAATAGTAACAACAAAAATATAATAAAACAAATAACTCATAACGAGACTCAATAAAGATATTGGTTAGACATTTTATTATAATGACAAATTGAACAAGTTTTACCAAGAAATCCTTATTATTGATTAAGTATGAATATTTTAATATTAATAATAAAGGTAGGTAATAAATTTTTTATTAATTTTCTTACTTAAACAGCGTTATTGTGGGCTGCCCTTATACACACCTAAGAGATCCGAACTCGGCGAACTCGATGATGAGATAAATCGGTCCGCCAGATGTCGTACACGCGCCCAAAAGTCTTATGACGTTGGGATGCTGAGCCTCCTTCAGCAGTTGATACTCGGAGAGGAGATCGGCGAGCTCGGATGCGCTCGCGTCCTCCTTCAGGGTCTTGACGGCTACGGTAGTCTGGCCCGACCAGCCCCCGATATCCTGGGCCTTCGCCCGCAGGACACGTCCAAACTCACCCTCACCCAGGACCTGCTCGATCGTCAAGCGCGATCGCGGGAACTCCCATTTGGGATCGGGCTGGACAACGTAAATGCACACAACGTGTGTAACTTATGGATTTTGTCAGCTGTTGTTATTACGTTTACGTTTAACAAGCAATTACGAGATCGTTAAAGCGCGGCCATAAATGCCTTTTCCCTCTACTTCGTCACGTTACATTTACATGCACTTACTTTTGCATAGGAAGCAAGACGTATACTTTAACGTGTGTTAGTTTTCACAATTTTCTTCTCTTCTACAGTGTCGCTCCATTAACAGATGTAACACGCAGTTACAGATATATCATTCATTTTATTTCAGTCTACAAATTATAAATATCTTGTGCCTTCTATGCCTTATTAATTCTTTTATATTGATCTACTGTCACTCTATATTATACTTGTTTAGTTAAAAAATTATATCTAACATTCATCGATCCATCCTCCATTAATTCGAATTATATTTATATAAATTAAATGTAATACGGAATATATTATCCAATTTATTAACAACTACTCTACACTGTTCATCAATCTAATGCATTTATTCATTATACAAATAATAAAATAATTTTCATGAAAAATTTTTCGCTTAACAGAAATTAAATATTGTACGAAGAATATATCGATTTTATGAATCTACGTGATAAAATAGTTAACTTTATCATATATATATATATATATATATATATATATATATATATAAGGACCATATATAATATACATAATAATATATAATAATATATAATATAATATATATATAATATATATATAATATATATAATATATAATATAACCATATATATATATACATAAGGAAATAATGTAATGTTATAAGAAGATATAAGCATCATTATAATAATTAAATAGGTTTACTTTAAATACGATCTTCTTTTATTTTGCTTAAGCAAGATTACGAGTAATGTAGATATTAAAACTTCTACAATTGATAAGAATTCGATCCTTGGCAATGAAAATAATAATTTAATAATTGGCATATGCAATGGAACTATTTTACAAGATTGAACTACAAAAATAAAAAAAAATATTTAAATTTCATTATTTTTACATTTGAAGCCGTCAAAATGAAAATTACAAAAATACTATTAGAATATAGATGGCAAATTTCACAAAACTTTTTATATCTCCGGTGTTAACATTTCGGAATTTAAAATAAAAAAAAAAGCCATATATGCAGACAAATATGTCAAGTTAATGAGAAAAATAAAGTGAAGTTAATGACAAATTATGTATAGTTATTATTTATGTATGTATATATAAACACGGAGTATTTTGAAAATGAAGAATAACGAAATGATCAATAATCCAGCCTCTGCGTGTATAACATTTTATCTTGGTCACCACGATTTACGGTGTGATCTTGCGTGATCGTGCACATTATTAAATTACATACCACACCACCTTATCTATTAAAAATTACTTCTTATACTTATATATATATATATATATATATATAATACAAAAGGCCTATATGTATTTCGGCTTTCATGTAGTCAAACGAAATTTCAAAATTTGTGATGAAATCAATGAATTTAAGAATAAACAACGAAAAGAAAAGACTCGTAGATGTGCGATGAAAAAAAGAAAATATATCAAATAAAGAGGATAGAAACGATAAGGTAGAAATGATAAATATGTTGCGTTAGATCTTTTTATTGGCCAGCAAAAATATATATTATTGAAGCGTTTAATATTTCACCTTAATTATCTACGGTCTAATAATTAACTATTAATGCATAATTATTGGCTCGACTATTATCGATAAATCGTAATACCAAATGATTAGATTATTCGCTTTAAGGTATTTTCACTTTATACGATATTTGGAGAGAAGAAAAAATAATAAAACATATCTTACAAATTAAAATTCTACAAAATAAGTTTGGCTACATTTTATTATTATTTCTCAAATAACAATATTTGCATTTCAATAATTTATTTATTCGAATTTAATTTTACAGAGATATGTACAATTGAAATATAATTATCAAATGAGATTAATCCATCTATCTGTCAACCTAAGTATCAATTTCCGTTACCATTGAACAATAAAAGATAAACGAGCAATGTTTATATCGATATAAATCAGCTATCCGAAAAGCATTTTTCCTACTTTTTTGCACTTTCTACTTATCACATTCGAACTAGTCACAGTGCTATAATTTGTATTGCTTTCATGCTATCATGAAAAAGTAGAGTTAATAACCTCAGAGGAATCAGGATAATAAAACATACTTTACGACCAATAGAAACTCGCACCTAACAAAATTCTTTCATAACGATCTTTGAATGTAAAATAGTTATTCTGCATTGAAATATCATATATAAAATTTGTACGATTTATTTTTTATTATACAATAAGGTCTAAATAATTGTATTTGACATAGGTTTTGCTATTTAATAATATTAAATAATCGTGTTTCAATAATTTTGGGATTTTAACAATTTTTTTTTTTCGCAATTATAGAGATTTAAATACGTTTTTTTTTATTTTTTTTAATTAGAAAAAGAAGATGAAAAGAAATAGTGAATGACAAAGAAATCATTTGATTAAGACATTTCAGTTATTGTGAAAATAATACATTGAAAAATCTGTACACTGACAATAATAAAATTGAGAAATAGGAATAAAATTTTAAAAGAAAATTTTAATTTCTTAGTTTTCATTTTATTTAATATAACATCTATTCGATTAATTATAAGCCTATTTTGTTCTTAAAAGTACGTATATTTTTTCTTACACTTTTCTCTATTACACTCTCTTTCTACTTCTCCTTTATATAAATCTACACGAACGACTACTTCAATGTATGTAGTCAAAAGATTGTATCAAATACAAAATATTCAAGTGTCCTCTCATGTATGTATTTACGAAATTCTATTATACATTGAAATTTTTAAATTATTTTATTATTTATCAATCATATTTCATTCGAAATTGTTGGTAAAACTTACCGGTGAATTTTTTGGTGCAAGCAGGGTACGATTTGCGACCGATAAGGATTCTAAACCGATTAGTAAACCATCTCCACGATCGACATAATCCAGAGGTAAAATCCCTAAACCATTGGCCACATCGCTTCCTCTGTGCATACAACTTCGCCGTGGAACTTTCGTCACAATTCTAAAATATGCAAAAATATACGATTTCATGAATTAAATTATTGACAATATATACGCGAGTGCATACTCGCATGCGCATGCTCACACAAATATACAGAACATGTACACAATCAAACAAGCGCGCGAGCACATACATACACATACAAAGTCGTATTTTTAATTTATTAAGATTATTAATTAAATTAAACAATCATTTATTTTTCCAAGTAAGTCAATTATTATATACATTTTTTATATTATATATTATATATACCTTATAGAAATAAAAAATGTTTTACATTTTAAAATCTTTCATATTACTACAAATATATAAAAGATTATTCTTATGAAACGATAATGTCGCAGAATTTTATTGTAAAAGTTTAATAATAACAATAAGCGATCATTTTATTGAATTTTTCTTATTAAAAATTAATTATAGGATGCAAGTTAATTTAATTAAAAACGTTATATTTTGTAGACAATTTCAAAGAACTAAATAAGAAATGATATTTCGATTATTTGAAAATATATAAAGATCAAACTTCTTGTCGGAGCATATACATCGAACCATTAAATAATATAAATATAAATACAATAATCTTTAAAGTTATAACTAGTTTATAAAAAACTAATTATTGCAATATTTCTTAATTAAAACATATCCTTACTTCCTTTTCGAACGTGGTTAATTATTATGGAATGAGAAATAACGTACGAGAAAATTAAAAAAAATTCCAAATTTTTTCTTACTTTTAAATCTATTTTTCTTTATAAATGACCACTATAATTAATTTAATTAATTAACTTAAGTATAAATACGACTGAATTAAAATATTATGATTATTAAATTATTAATGAGAAAGTCTGGACTAACTAAGAATATTTTTCTTAAAATTATTATTTAAGCAAAAATATTATAATACATATTTCTTTTTAATAGCTAGTAAAAATCTATGTGAATTTAATAAGATTAAACATTAATAATCGATTAAATTTAAAAACTCGCATTGGTCTTCTTTCATCAAAGTGAAGCTCTAGTTTACGTTAAATAAAATTATTTTGGAATATTTTATAATCATATACACGTAAATAAATAATATTAAATGATTACGATATTATCATAAACGTTTTAAGTAAAATACGTATAGTTAATTTATTACGGAAAAATTATGTAAACGATACATTACATACACTGTTAATCTTAATATATATGATGTAAATGTAATGTAAGCCTTGACTGTATTATTCTTAACAATATTCCGAGTGTCATTTTTGTTCTATAAATTGCATAATTATGGGTGAACCGAATTAGGAATATGAATATTATAAATTTTTTAGTTTTAATCTGAAGTCTTGTCTCGTGCTGGTCAAGTGCAACAGAGATCAGCAGCAACTACGATAGCTTCGGTGCTTGCACGACTCCGTAAATTCATTTTATGCAAATAATTCGCGTGCACCAGCGGCACTCACGTTAATGCGCTTATAACATTGTAGTGGAAAAAGGTCGGAAAATATCCACTCGTTTTATTTATAGCCGTTGATCTGTGGTGTGCCCGAGTATGTCACACATAGTACTTAATTTGCCAATTATTAACGTAGATAGTATTCATTAGTTAATAATTCCATTGATATTTCAATTTGAGTTTATAGATTTTGTATTATTATTTGCAATTTTGTTTAACAAAGAGATACTTTAATTTCACGGCCTCGATAATATACAGTAATTTATTACATTTATTACAGAATTTACATGAATTGTCTATTTATTTAAATATCCGTCTAGGTCGATGAATTTGGTCGCACACGATTAAATATCCATTAAACAAATGATAATATTATTTTATGTAAAATATGAAAGCGATAAGATTAAACGGCAATTAAAGTAATAGGTGCTTTCACGATTTGCAATGCTATTTATCCGGTAGCTGTCAATCTGATTTACCATGTTATAAATAATTGCATCAATTTTACGTGCGTTTAAAATAGTTTATGCACGTTAAGTGAAAATCAATTGAAATTTCAAACGAGTTTCTAAAAATTTCGAAAACAGCTAAATGGATGATAAAAGTTGAGATTGTATTTGAAAATTATAAAGATATTGTATTAAGAATTATTATTTATAACACGAATTTAATTTTCTATTCAATTTTCATATAATTTGGTGAATAATTTTTTAAGAAATAACAATGTCAACTTTAGAAAACAAGTACAATATATTTCTTGAAGAGCTTGAAAACAAAAAGAGTTTTTAAATAGTACAATATATCGTTTTATTTGTACGTAAAATTGTTTTTGTATAATATCCGATAAGTATGGACAATGTTTTTCATAAATTTTCTAGAGTGGAAGCATCTGATTCAATTGAGAGAGAGAGAGAGAGAGAGAGAGAGAGAGAGAGAGAGTGTGTGTGTGTGTGTGTGTGCGTGTGTCTGAATTATAAAGATAAGTAGTAATAGAAATGGAAGTTGGGCAAAAGGGTAGATGCGTCCCTTACCTGTAACGCCATAATACAAACGATCCAACAATAATTATAAGGACAAAAAGGCTCGCCGCGATAATTCCGATCAAACACGTTGGCCCGCAGGTACTGCTTGTAGCTACAACAACAATAGATTAAGTGCGCTCGTAAAGTATTTAAATTTATTCTCGCTCTCACGATCTAATTGCCAATGCACGCACGTTATGAGCATTATAAGAGCTCCCGGGGCTTAAAAAGCTTTTAACACTGGCGCATTGGCAGCTAGAGGCCGAGGTGCGCCCCTATTGTCCACCAGGACTTACCCTTGCGCGCATCCGCGCCGACGAACGGAGGCGGTGTCCTCTCGCGGTCTCGCCGGCTCTTGGCGGCTTCGCGCGCTTCCTTGGCGCCGCCGCTGCCCGTTGTCGGCCTCCGGAAACTGGCGCCGCAGGTGCACTGCGTGAAGTCGTCGCACCAGCAGGTCCCGAAGCCGCTACGTATACCTCGGCCGCCCTTGTTCATCTCCGCGAAGCGTACCTCCGCTGATCACGAGAGAGAGAGATAGAGAGAGAGAGATAGAGATAGAGATAGAGATAGATAGATAGATAGATAGAGAGAGAGAGAGAGAGAGAGAGAGTCGAATTACGTAAGAGCAGATTGGGACTGGGAGCCATGGGGGATCGATCGGTGTCCCCATCCCCTCGCGGCACGTCTACGCGTCGAGCTACTTGCCAAAAGGACCGAGCGCCGTTTTCGGAGTCTGAACGTCGAGGCAGTCGAGATTCGACATCCCGGGGATGAATTGCCCGATTCTTGGATGAGAGGCCACTCGTCGTCGGTGCGATGCGCCGAAAGTTACACAATGGAGGCGGGCGGTGCCTCGGCTTCTGCTTGAGTAACCGATTATCCGAATAACGAATTCAAACGAGTTTTCGCCCATAAAAACAAAACTTTAAAAATTCTTTTATCCCCGAGCGTTCGCTTTATATTATAGTTTATTAGCAGTGTGGGAAGGGTTGCTGAAAACTTTAACATACTCACAATATGTTTGCGATACGGCATGGATAATTTTTTATATTTATGCTTTATTCAGTTTGCCCCGTTTGCGATAAATAATTGTGGCGTCATTCCATTGGAATTTAAATGAGAACTGCAATAGTCATAAATGTCGACATTCTTGTATTTCTAATGCACCAAAGAGTATGAATAATAAAAAATTATTGGAGGCTGGCTTTTACACGAAAATTTAATGAAAAACAATTGCATATTACAAGGCCATCCATGTTATCTCCCAACTAAAAGAATAATATAAATTTTCACTGAGAATTCCTACTTCCTCCTTTACAAGCACTCTAATATCAAATAGTGCATATTATATGTTTATTAAAATGCTGTCCCCTAATGGATTTCGTACGAGAATTTTTTTCTTAAAATTTGTCAATCTTATCGAGTCCCGGCAATGTTAATGTAATATAATGGAGCGTACATTCGATGGCACAATCTTGTGGACAAATTCGTGGATCGAGGTGTTCCAACTCATCGCATATGTAATTAGGACAATAGGTGAGATCCGGGGAGCAGGTTTCGTACTTTTCGGTCATTGTGCTGTTGTTTGCCTTGTTCGATCTCCAAATGCAGCCACCCGCATAATGGTCGTTTGTCCTGTGTATATACAATTGCTATAAACAGCCAATTCTCTCACGTGAGGCAATTAAGATTTCGGGCATAGGAGTTTTAGATAGCACGAGTCGTTAAAAGTACATTCGACTTTTCTATTTTAGTTTTTTCTCCGAATCTATAAATATTGATACGCTCGATGTTTTCCGCTCCATTATTTATATCCGATATTACAAATATATTACGGTCATCTTAAGCAATTATGGAGGATACTTAACGCACGCGTTAAATACAAAATATTACATTAAAAATTCGATATCAATAGGTCTAAATCTGTCAATTTGAATTATAATTTTTTACTGGTAAATTGTACTATTAAATGCTTTTTTTTTTTTTTTTTTTTACCTACTTTACTTTGCTTTTATACAAAGTCATATAGCGAGCTGTTAAAAAATATGTGACATAATAATTTTCGTAAAGAGCAACTGTATAAAAATGGTTAATAACAACGTGTATAGTTATAGTTAGTAGACAAAAGGAAAAACAATTATATTCATATAAATCGTTTACGAGTGAAAGTCAATGGAATTTTCATATAATAAACAAAGGTGATAACCTTACATTGAATTTCCACTGCCGACTCCGCATCTTCCTTCACATTCATTAATAGTCTTGGCGTTTGCACAGGAGTGAATGCTCATTTGATTTTGTTTGCAGAACTCCGTAGGCTCGGTGATTTTGATCGTCAGAGTAGTGGAGAATGTGCGCTGATCCGGCGTACGCCATTCCACTCGTAAGCTAATGGATACTTATTTTAAAACTGCTTCCAAGCTTTCGCTGACATTTATTTCAATATAAAAAACTTAAATATATATAAACAGTTAAGGTATTAAAAGAAAACCTAAAGTATAGTTTTACTTTTAATTGATAGTACTTTTTGTTGTCTTGCGCAATGTTCCGTACCTTGATAATCAGCAATCAAGCACGATTTAAATATTCATTATCCTAATTGAATAGTTAAATAATGCATAGACCGAAAGCGTTCTACATATAATCAACATAATATTCATGAAAGCATTCGGGTACAATACCATCGAAAATTTTCTATGCGCAGTAATAACGTTTTCTTCTTAAAGCATCGAATATCTTCCGTGATGAAAGACTTCTTTTTAACGGACTAAAAACAATTACGAGAGAAATTCAATAAAAGAATAAGTGAATCATTACGTAAAAGCGTTAAAAGAATTTAATTGATTTTTTTGTTTCATTTTGTTTTGTTGTTGCACAAACGGTCGTAACTAAAATTCTCACAATATCAATAAAGCTTTCCTGTTATTGCTCAAATTATTCAATTTTTTTAGATAATTATTTTAAGTACTAATAAAATAAACAAATAATTGGTTGTTTTCTAACTATCCATCCATCCATCCATATATATATATACTAATGTTTAAGAACTATTATTGCACAACAAACCTTTGATACAACAATGGTCAAAGTTTTTAAATTTTTCCTATTTAATAAAAAGTTTTGTCTAATAAAAATAACTTTCAACTTTGCTGTCCAACCTTGTTAATCGTCGATTGAAACCTCATAATCCTTAAAAAGTACACTACAATATTCCTATCGACATCAAGTTGAAGACCATTATTTTTAACATTATTAGTTCAATAGTCGAATATAGAATTATTTATATGTAGAATTAATGAAACGCAAGGGGCTGAGAAATATTCAAAAAACCAGTGGTCATTTACATTGTCAATGTGCGCGTTAAACTGATTAAAACTCTAATTAGAAAGCGCTTATGAATAATTCCGTATCCCATTAAATACAAGGCTTAGAAATTTTTTTGGTGATTTTATGCCTCGAAAAATGCTTCGACCATCGACAATGTCGTATCAATGATTTTCACATCTTACCTCATTGCCGTGGAATTCAACGGAAGTGCGCTCGCGTTCGCGAGAAAGACGATGCCGCCTGTGCTCGTGACGTTGAAAGCTTCGACGCCTGGCAAAGCAAATAGCACTTTCGAATTAACCCTGTGGAGTGGTTGGGCGATTCGATAAAATTGACTGGAATTGCGTGGCAGCTGTGCGACCACCGGATAGACGATGCGCTGCTTCAAAGGGATCGACGTCGTCGTCGTGGTCGTGTGATGCTGGGGCCCGATGAAGGATAGGCTGATGTTCCGCTAAAGAAAAGACTGTTTATGTTGTGTTTCCACTGGTGTTGTATCATCGTTACCACACTAATTCTTTTAACATTCAATTTTTTAGGGAAAATTTCATTGCTATGAGAAAATCACTCGATCGCAATTTAATATTTCACAAGGATGTTATATAGACTTTTAATAATCTTTAGCTATTGCTTTAATTGACATTGAAAATTTTCTTCTAAAAGTTTCTCAATTAATCGAATTTCTTCGAAAATATATATATATATATATTATATAAGTCATAAAACATGTAGAAATTGGTTATTGTCGAGCCTGTTAAATTTCAAGCTAATGTATTCTTATACAAGTCATTTCAGTTTTTTACTCTTGAACTGATAAAAAAGTAATTTTTGATTTCGAGAACCATTTCCTATATTATATATTTAACCATTTTTTAAGTTTATCCATAGAGTTCTGATATAGTTAATGCATAAAATATTTATTTTCATTTTTACGGCATATGTTTATTTATATATATATATATGTTGGATTTATTGAAAAGTTCAAGATTTCCTTACACCACGTTAACGAAACATTCTAAATTTTACCACATATTTGAATATAATGGAAAAGCGGTTAATTGGTAAAGAGATTAATCTACTTCGACAATATATAAATTGACTAAAAATCGTTGACAGCACAATAGACACTTAACACAAGTGTACAATCGTTAACAATACAAATGATCGAAATCAAAAGTTACGTGTTTATACATAAGCAACTAAGCCAGCGAAAAGCAAATAATAAAAGTTTATAAAGCAAGGGGAGTGTATTGAATTGTATCGAGTGTACGGAAAAATGAGAAATGCGTATATGAGAATACGAGCGCACCCCGTCCCAATTGCCGTCCCCTTGCCGAATGCGATTGCCATCCTAGTGCCGCTTATGGGCCATTAGTCCCGAAATATCCGTGGAACTGCCGTCTCATTAATTATGGGCATGTACAATAAGAGTGGGGAAAGCCGCGGATCGATTGTACGTCGACGAGTCAATGTCGTGTTCATCTGTGTGCGGAAAAAGTCTTTAGCGACGCCGTCAATAACAGGAAACGGGGCGTAGACGATACCGGGGCTGTAGCGAGGATGGCGATTCGCCCGGTAGGCAAAGGGGAGAGGATAAGGAAGGGAAGATATAAAACCATTCGATGCTCTTTTCCACGGGCTACGGGCGAAACGTGATAAGATCAGTGAATGCGAGGGACTCCGAGCTGCGCGTGATTTCGCGATTCTACGTCTACCGTGGAATTTTCTGGGAGGTAAGCGAGCATCTGGATTCTTATAGTCAGCGGAGAAAAGCCGATAATGCACGGAAAGTTTTCGTACAATCGTCCTTAACCGGTATTTTATTCCATCATAATCCAGCTTCTCTATGACTAGTCTTTTCTTTTTTAATGTTCTCTGACGGTTTCTCCCACCTCCCTTTATACAAAAATTCACGTCCTTGGCTTTTCTATCATCGATTTTACAATGGAAATATGTGTTTAGATACCAATTTTATTAATATTTAAAAATTTTTTTATATATTTCTGTATATACCTTATCTCACTAAAACAAGATGGTTTTTTTTTTTTTTTTTTTTTAATAAATCTAACAACTTTATTTTTGTATCCAAAAAATATATGTATGTTTGGGTATACATGTATCTATATAATATTTGCAAAGTGGGATAAGACTTAAATATCTGTAACAGTTACATTAGAAAGTCATGATTATTGGAATTGTTTATTTCACAATAAATACTAATTTATATGGAATAATTAAAGATTTAATTTTACCTGTAGAATAGTGTGAAAAACACATAATATTTTTAAGATTTGAATACTAAATTTGCATTGAATTTCTTGTAAATCAAAATTCCTAAGCAGTTTATTAATTAGCAACAGTATTTTGAAATAAGTCAGAATCCAAACTGTAGTTGTTAATTTAATTAGTATGCAGAAATTTCTGTACAAATATTTTAGGTGCGGCATATTAAATTTTCAGCAAAGACTAATCCTTGATTGATAGTCTTATTTCCTGCTACATAAGCCATTCCAACATTATACGTTCGTTAATAACGAATTATCATTTATTATATTGCAAATTGTGAAAACTTTATTAAATAATATAATCATTTGAGTTTCTTACATAATTATTATTTTTAAAATTATCACTATTGTAAAAAGTTTTAAAAGTTCTACAATCGGATAACTTATATAAGCATTTTCATTGAAAATACGAAAGTTTAACAAATACAATTGAAATTAAATAAATTGCTTTCATATACCAATGTTCAATTATGAAAAATGTTTAAACTCGATTAAGATAAACGCCATGCAGAATATAAGATTAAATGACGAAACAAATTAGTATTATAATTATAGTACAAAATATTTACCGTATTATTTCCAAATCCTGTTAACAGCGATTCGTCCCTAACTTGTAATATCACTCGATACGGTGATTTCGGAAGAAGCGTTGTCCTAGAATACAATCCTGGAGTAAAACAAATAAAATATGAGCTAAATGGCTAATATTTCCAATTGTTCATTATTACATCCAATACAAAAGCACATCTTACTTGCATAGATCGCCGTTGATGGCGGCCTCTTCGGATGATCAATCGATATTATGTCATAGGTTAAATTAAGAGAATTGTAAATATCATTAAGCAGTCGAACGCTATACGTATTTGTATTAATGTTGTCGGCGTCGTTAATTATTAAATCGTTTTCATCTAGTCTATCACCCTGAAATGCAAACATTCATTGTTTATCTTTAAAATTACGGGAGCAGCCGATTCAAGCACATTATTTAAACGAATGTAAAAGGCTGCTCGCTTAATGAAAATATTTAATTATTAGGCATCTTATTCTTATTAACCCGATATCCAACGTGAAAATTCATCGATAAATGATTTATTGTTAAAACGATCGATCTAATTATGAATAAACAGCTTTAAAAAATTGTATCAAAAGATACGATGAAACGTAATTTTTCATACAATAGAAATATCCTAGAAGTCCGGTTATTATGAAGAAAAATCAATAATTCGAATTAATTCAGTTGGAAAAATATTTACATTTATTTATCCAAAAATAAATGTTTAAAACGTAACCATTACCTTTTAATGCATAATGGATAATGAAAAGACGGGTAAAACAACAGGGAAAAAAATAAAAAAAAAAAATTAAAGCAAGAAGGAAGTTGTTTAGCGTATCCTCAATATGAAATGCAAGCATCTCTTAATGGAACGGTTGGGGAGATTAATCACTAGAGCGTGGGCCCGACGACCATCAATCTCCATTCTATGTTCCGTCTTTTTACAATTACGTTTTAACAAGAAAATCCACGGTTTCCGCTGCGGAGGTGCGCTCTAAGAGGGCGAGGACACGCTAAAACTTACTTCCAAGGCAAGCACACACCGACTACTTCATAACTGAAGAAGCGCGGAAGTAAAGCACTAGCTGCTTAATCATAAATTGGAGAATTTTTTAGCCTTGCACTGTCACTTTCAACAAAATATCTCAGCATAAAGTTCGTTGCCCGATTTTAAAAATCGCCCCATCAATTCACTGCCCATTACAACTTGGTCATTCAACTCACACTATTCTATCTTCTTTAGTGTACACCATTGATCATTGAGGTAAATATTACGAACCGTTAATACCACGTAATAATAAGTAATTGGAATGCCTGTGAATTTGACGCAGGCTAATCGCTCGTTCGTATCATGCGTATTTTGATATTTCACTTTAATATCTCATTACGTCCGAATATTATTCATAACTTTATATTTATTGCTCATTTAATCAATTGATTGATATATATATATATGTATGTATGTGTGTGTGTGTGTGTGTGTACAAAAAAGAGAAAATTTTTAATTATAGTACTAATGCATAATAAAAAATCTTTTATTTCAATAAGATATTAATATGTAATTGTTATGATCGAAAAATTTTTTTTTTTTTTTTTTTTTTTTTTTTTTTTTAACATTATTTCACATTTTTATTCTTCCATTAAAGGACGATTACAATATGCATTGAATTAATAGTCTGATCGATTAGATTCTATTAAGCTTATTGAAATATATGAAAGGAATCATCTGTTAAAACGCTTTATATTAATAAAATGAATACCATATTAGTAGTGTGAAAGCCAGCTAATAAATCAATTATTTAACTTACAAGGAAGCAATAAATAAGCAAGAAATTATGTTGCCTTCTATCTCTATGCAAATATTTGACCAAAAATTATCGTCATATTATACTTTCATATAAACCGTTATCATACACAAACGTTTACATCTACGTATTGCTCAATTTGAATTTCAAATATTTACAAACGAGCAATAGTTGTTTCAACGGTGTATTTTATTTATAGAGCCGATACTTTAATTATTTTCATATTGATGGTAGACACGATAAAATTCTCTGCATTTTATTGATTTCAATTTCGAATAAAAGATAAAAAGTGGTTGCAATAATAAGTAAGAGGAACGGACTTACGGAAGATAAAAAAAGAAAATGCAATAGAAGGAAGGAAAAGTAGAAGATGTAGACCATTAACGAAAAAAAAAAGAAAAAAAGAAAAAATAAAAAGGAACAGGATAAAAAAAAGAAAAGAAAAAAAAAAGTGAGACGAGCAGACGCACAGATCGAGAGCGTGAAAGACGAGAGAGCGAGAAAACAGAAGTAAAAAAAAAGATCTTTCTCTCCCTCTGCCTAGGGTTTAATCAGTATCAGCCCCTGCACGCTCTGCCCCTATTAACTCCCACTCTTGCCTCTTTATCAGTCTTGTGGCTGTCGACATTTCACACGACTCTCCTACGTCTGCTGGCCTTGCATTTTTCAGCATTTTTCAACTTTTTCTCCGTTACGTTCCACAAATCCGTAAGGCCGACGCACTGTCCAAAACGGTGCATTGATAAGGAGCACAATGCGTTCTTGATAAAATCTCTATTTACTTTGCAGTTCCTCGGACATTCGACAAATAGCGGTAAGTCATTAGCACCACTCAACCAAGTATTATAAAGCATAATAACCTCTCAGTTTAAATAATCCTGTTACAAACATTACTATGAGATTATACATCTCTGCGAAAAATATAACACGATAATCGATTTTCCTCGGGCTTTCGCATTTATAGGGGAAAGCGTGCAAACAATTTTCGATCGAACTATCGAGCTATATATTTTGCATTTTAAAAACTCTGTTCTATTTTGAAAAATGTAAATTTTAACATAAACAGGTTGGCGTTGCTATTGTTAATAGTCATATATTATTTTGCGCACTGATTCACCAGAAAACTTTCATTTAATTTGTTCTAACATTCCTAATTAATAGGAGAAGCCATGCGAAGTAAATAAAAAAATTATACACTCATCTGACCTTTTTCCTCGAGGACAATTTACCTGTGTGAAATCTTTCAAATGTATCTCCACGCTCGCATTGGTTTGTGGAATCGGTGGATTGTCATTTTGATCCAATACATCGACATTCAATACCTTATCGATCGTATATTGATTACCCGTTGTGTTCTCCCAGATAACGCATCTGACGTTGACAACTGCACGAGGCCCCGTACCTTTCGGTGGATTCAATGTATCTCGATCGAGTGAGTCGTTTGAATAGACTTTGTTATCCGATAAATAAACGAAATCTGTCCCTAAGGATAATACAGATTATTTAGATTTACGTTTCTGCTCTTATCCGTTTGATTTTCAACACTTGTACTCTTGCGCATCGTTACTAATAAGCAAAAACATTATGTTTGCCGATGCAAACCATTTCCTTTATTCGTGACATAAAAATTTCATCACAAGTTGTACATTTAGCTACAAAATCATCTAATATTAGCATACTATAGTATAATTGAACAATGATTAATTTAATGACAGCTAATTAATAAATATTTCGAAACAATTAAAATATAAAATACAAACATACGCGTAAATACTGATTTTACGTATGATTGAGCGCCTAATAATATAAAGTCCACTTACCATTTAATAATTCATATCTGGATACTGAAAATTGCGGACAAATAGATTTATAGGCATCCGGTCCTAAAGTGCCTAGCATTGTCAATGGCTGATTCTCATAAATCCTGTATTTGGACGTATTCCAGAAGCATATATCCTTTAAAACATATTAATAACATATTCAAGGACCGTTAAATGATTTTATATTATTTGATGTACGGTCGGATGTGAAGATTTCACGTTGATTTACTTGAAATACAAATGAATTTAGAAAAATTATTAAGCAATTACCTGCAAATAGTCCGAACAATTAAAGATATTATTTTTCATATCTTGTGATTGGATTTTAACTTCGAGAAAAGCTTCGGCGCCGCTTTTATCTGTCGCTTGGATGACTATTGCGCTTGAGGTACCTGAAAAAACATCTTATTTGAACTCGATTAATTTAGAAGAAATTGTACGCTAAAAAGCTCGGACAATCAATCTTCTCTATAACACAAATTTACTTTTCAGATTATTATAATTGATTATTATAATTTTATTCGCTCTCAATCAAAATATTAAAATTAATAGGTTATAGTTTGTCAGATAATTATATAACTAGCCATGCAAAATAAGCGATAGGAGATTAAATATTTTTTTATTGATCCAATATACAATAAATTTATTGAAAAATCACATGATAAGTTTAATAAGAGAACAAAATCTCGAAAGTGAGAAAAGTAATTGACATATTTTAATTAAAAAAATGAAACCATATTGTATCATTCTACTTGTATTGTGTATTATTTTATATAATAATTAGATACTTTTTAAAAGATAAATCATCATCTTTATTGCATAAGTATACAAGTAGATTTTCATTATTTGGATAAATCCATACTCTGAATTACGAAACATTAATGTTATAATATGACATATCAATTAATTTTTATATTTGAATGAAAAATTTATGAGAGTAGAAAGCTTAGAAAAAATTAATACGTAAAAACTAAATTATATTTTAATTATATTTTATATACTTATTATTAAATTTAAATACTTATATGGATTATTTAAATTATATACATACATAAATGTAAGTTAAACATTAGCTTTGCTCATTCGCTTTTAATGTTACCGTTATTCCATTTACATACACAATTTCTTTGCATTATCGCATAGATTATGTATATTTAAATGTTGTAGAAAAAAAATTTATGAATAAAAATCACGATAATTATTCGAAATTAAAAGTACCTGATGTAATATTTAATAAGTCTGTAATAACGAATAATATCTTTAGAAAATATATCGAAATATTTTTCTATTTTAACATCATTCACATGGCATTTTATTAATAATCTTAGAAATGTATATTGTCAATATTGAAGAATATATTTACCTTTTTCAGGCAGAGCTTTTAATATTATATTTGCACTCTTTATATCCAAGTTGGCATATTTTTCCTTCGAGGATAGTATATTGTAAATTGGATTGGTTGGTATCGTGGAGTCATTTTTTAAAGTTTTCAAAGTTATGAGATTAACGTCTGATGTTAGTCCCATTCCATTTTGAAGCATATAAGGAATTTTTAAAGTTACATCCGAGTGAGGAAAGTATAATGCTGAAATAAAAAGTTTCATAGTGTGAGCTTCTCAGATTTGAAAGTGATAATATTTTAACAGCATAACATTTTATAAATAATGCAAGGAAACTGATTAAATAACTTTGGAAATTATTTTATTCTTAAAATATAAATATTTTATGTTAAATATTTTATATATAATCATTGAAAAAGGGCTAGCTGAAAAAAAAAAAGATTAAAAGATTCTTTACACCCGGATAATATTTTTAAATCATTCAATAATCTTAAAAAATCAAAACGATATAATCTAAAATTTTTTAATCTGCAAAACATTGATTGCTTTATTTTTCATTTAGAGGAAAAAATAATAAAATAATTCATTTTTACTCGTCGAAAGCATCGTAATGAGCAATCAAGCGTTTAATTAAAATCTTTCAAATATATGTAATATTTAAAATGTGCTTCTAAAATCTTTCAAATTGAAATCCAATTTTTTTTCACTCGACTATATAATAGAAATTTTTATTTTTAGCTCTTATATTACTTCTTTAACATAACATTATTATTCGTATATACATAGTAATTGTCTTCAAAAGCAACTCATTTATTCCAAATACTTTATTTATACATTCATTTGCACATCTGTGTGCGTGTGCGCGTACATGTGCGTACGTGTTTATGAGTTTTAATCATTTCATGTATATTCTTACATATAAAAATTATTGTTCAAGTAATATCGATTCTTATACGTATCTTAAAACTTAACTCGAATAGCTTGATGCAAGATATATAAAAAAAAAAAAAAAAAAAAAAAAAAAAAAAAAAAAAAATTAAAGAAAAAAAGTATTTCGTTCCACGTATATCGATATTTCACGTGCAATTGAACTTTGAAGTTTAGCGATGCAAGCAATAATTTTGCACAACTACATCCACCGTATGTAAATGCGCACAAGTTTATTGTCTCCCTCTATTCCTCTATTCCTACATTGCATGATTTTTCAGTTTTAGACTGCTTCAATGGCCTGCTTATTCCTGATCTCCTACACGTACTTTGCACTCACGAACTTCCAGTAAAAACATCTTCACGGTTCTGGGAGAAAAAGTATATAAAGCTTCACCGTGCGCTTCAATCGTTTTGCACCCTTTCAAGAAGAACGCCAAAGGGACGCGGTTAACATATGCGCATTCGACGAAATAAAGAAATAAATAGCAAACTAGTAGAAGAAAAAGTCGTGTACGCAGATCGATGGATCTACTCAAGCATGAAGTACAGCGAGAAAAAGGGATCTTGGAAAAGTAGTCGCGGACAACTGACTATCTTACTATCAAAGTATTATTTTATTGAAAAGAAACAGACTGTCCTTCATGGCAATTCGTTTACGATTTATTTTCTACTTACTTTCGCACTTTCTCTATGTGAAAATCATGCAATATATTTTTATATTAAAGCCGATTACGTTGAACATGTAACGATATGTGATTACCACTCGTCCCCCAATGAATTATAACTGTGAATATTAATGATAAAGAAAAAAAAAGAACAATAACAACTATATATTTGCTATTAATTCATAGAAGGAAAGAAGAATGATTAGTGTATCAAAAGACATTTATAAGTCTTACTAAAATAAAGCCAATAGCTTAAATTTATTATCCGTAATATTAACGACAATATTGTATAATAATTTTGCATGGTAATTTGTATCCAAATGTCATTGTTATATGTATTTTAATAAGTTAGTAATACAGAATATATTTTATCATATAAAATTTTATTACATTAAATTTATCAATTTGTAAAGTAAATAATTTTTAACTAAAGAATGATTTACTTTCACAGAAGGACAATGAAAAACTTTTTCTTTTAAGTTAATAGCCAATGAAAAGTGTTGAATTACTAAATACATTTTAGAATAAAGCTCACAACATTTAAAATATTTTAAATAACATTTTCAGTAAAAAGATTTATTTACATATATTAAATTTATAAATTAACAGTAATCACTTAATTTCTCGTTAAATTTTTTTCCCATCACTTTTACAATTGATTTTTTCGTGGTGACATTACACTTTCAATAATAGATTAAACATTCGAACGAATATAATTGTTGTGCCAGAAATGTCTGATCTCAAAGTTCAAATATCAAATTGCATTTGCTACTACAAAAGAATCATTTATCTAAGCATTCTTTACTCTTTACTCTTAACTCAACATAATGAATGAATTCATATTAATGAAAAGTAGGCTTTGAAGTAATCATAATAAGATATTTGAAACGTTAAATAGATTAAAATAAACCGAACATGTCATGAACAGACATTTTAATAATTTATGTTTTTTTAAACTGCCATGAATATGTAATATATAATTCAATCAATGCACAAGTTCTTCTTACCGAGTATTCATGTAAATAAACTAAAAATATAATGCAAAATCGAATAAATAAAATAGATAAAATTTTATGTCGACATTTCATAATATCTTTAGATTTATTATATGTACAATTTTCCATTACATATTTATTTAGATTACATACTTTCGTATCATAAAACTGCGCGTGGGAAAATCTGTGCGCAGTCTGAAGTTTATAAATAATGATTAGAAATTAAATAACAATTTTTAATTACCTCTGTATTCGTCTTAAATTATATTCAATTATTTTAATTTAAGGTAAAAAAAAATTCTTATACATTCAATTCAATATATATATATATATATATATATATATATATATATATATATACGTATTTGAGAATTGGCATATTTAGATTTTTCATTTTCATGCTTGAAATGTTGTTGTTATGTGTTTATTATTTTTAAATTTATCGTAAAATAAATGACTCGAGTGTTACAAAAACATTAAAACTTTTTAACATTCGGTATAATTTATCCAAACGGCAATTTTACTTGATTGTCTTATCAAAAGCAGCATTTATAATGTTCGTCAATTTATTATTGAAAATTTAAAAGAATAATTCGCTTATGCTTCCTTAATATTCTTATAGAAAGAAAATAATTACTGTTAATAACTGAAAAAAAAGTCTGTAATGGAGAAAAAGGAAGAGATAGATGCGTGTCAAGGTAAACATTTAATCGATATTTACAAGGTAGTTAATTTTAATCAGTGACGTTGCGTGTCAACCGACTGTCCGAAGTTTTACAAACATTTTTATGACAGTCACCCTCGTCTATTGCCCTTTCTTCTACATACCTTAACTATATGCGTATTCATCGTAAAAAACGTACGGAGGGTAAGTCGCATAAAATACACCATAAAACCAGTGCCAAATCGAGTTATTCGACGAATTATTTGTTGTGCTCTATAAAATGAGCTGAAGCATTACTTCGCAATTTAGAAATACGTTTGTAATAATATCATAGGGTTATAAACTATGGTACTCGGTTGCGCAATATTTCTTCATGTTAATAAAATAGAAATCAGTTTACACCTTCCGCGATGTCAGGCTGTCTGACTGAGAGGCAGTTTAAAAACTTAAAAAATTTATTTAATAACATATCGATGTTTTATATGAGTATGATCAATTTTACCGATATAATCTAAATTTTCAATTACCATTCTTTACTATTACATTTAAATAATTAAAATGCAGCAATATTTTTAAGGGGAAATGTATTTAATATCGAGTTTCACAAGATACAAGAATAGGTATAAAAAAAAAAAAAAAAAAAAAAAAAAAAAAAAAAATGGTTATAACTTTACTAAATTCATGCAAGTAACATTACTATCACTTGCCTATTGACTTTATCACAATAACAAATACTTTTAATTCGAAAGTTTTTATCAAACTATTATTTCAATATTATTATCAAATAAAATGTAAATATAAATCACTTAATATTCTTATATTATCTGTAGAGTATAAAACTGTGAAAATAAAAATAACTAGATTTTTTTAATTAATCAAGCATTGTTATGCGTTACATTTTGCAAATTTTATATAAATGCAATAGCAATTAAAAATAAACTGCAGCTTTTCTATATTAAGATTTCCATTTGATTTTTAATTTATAAGGATTCAAAATTAAAGCTTAAATATTATATAATTACACACGCGCGCGCCCGCAAACTTTCTATACTAATTATATCGAAATACTTTAAAATATTGTTTAAACTAACTGGATAAAAATAATTTTAAACACCTTGATTTTTAAACGTAAATTAACAACATTTTCAATATTATTCTTTTAATTTTATGCACAATGCAATAATTCATGCTAATCTATTTATAAGGGGATATAAGTATAAAATAAAAGATAAAATAAAGTGATATATAAGGTTATTTACTAAAGTTTATTTATAATATTTTGCGCTCGAAAAACTTATTATAGTAAAAAGTGTAAAAACTTAATTTTTTGTAAGGCTTGTCATGAATATAACATAAATAATAAATTTATTGGTTCGACATTTAATTAAAGACCAAATAAGTAAGATAAGTAATATATTTTGTATTACTTACACTTATAAGTATGAGATAATAAAACAAAGCGCTTTAAAATGCTTTGATTTAAAATCATTAAAATCGATATTATTATTTTCATTTATAAAATATTGACGTGTAAAGACTGGATTATAGATATATAATTCAATTACATCATATATGAATATGAAAAGTATGGTTAGGATAATCAAACGAAAAACTTCATAATGTTTACGATTGAAATAACATGTTATGGTGTACTAAACGTACTTTACGAGATACACTGAACTCAATATAACGTGATTATCCAAAGTGAAATTTATTCAAAAACACAAAGTACGAAAGAAAAAGTACGATATATAGTCGATCATATAAAACGAATAGAATAACTCTAATTATTAAAGCAAAAATATGAACAATAAAATTTGAGTGTATTTAAATTTTTTATGATTTAAGGCATTTATACACTGAAAAGAAACTAATCAAAATATTTTTTTATGAATAATGTTATTAGATTATTCTCAATAAATAAGCTCTTGTATAGGCTCATAATTTATTGAG